ATGGAACAGAATAAAGAAAAAAGAACAAAAAGAAATGAGGACAGCCTCAAAGACCTCTGGGACAATATTAAATGCACCAACATTTGAATTATAGGGGTCCCAAAAGAAGAAGAAAAAGAGAAAGGGCCCGAGAAAATATTTGATGAAATTATAGTCAAAAACCTCCCTAACACGGGAAAGGAAATAGTCACCCAAGTCCAGGAAGCACGGAGAGTCCCATACAATATAAACCCAAGGAGGAACACACCAAGACACATACTAATCAAAAAAGCCTACAAATAATAAATGCTGGAGAAGGTGTGGAGAAAACAGGAACTCTCCTACACTGTTGGTGGGAACGTAAATTGGTGCAGCCACAATGGAAAACAGTATGGAGGTTCCTTAAAAAACTAAAAATTGAGCTGCCATATGATCCAGCAATCTCACTCCTGGGCATATATCCAGAGAAAAGTCTAATTTGAAAAGACACATGCACCCCAATATTCAGAGCAACACTATTTAAAACAGCCAAGACATGGAAGCAACCCAATGTCCATCAATAGATGAATGGATAAAGGAGATGTGGTACATATATACAATGGAATATTACTCAGCCATAAAAATCATGAAATAATGCCATTTGCAGCAACATGGATGGATCTACAGATTATCATACTAAGTGAAGTCAGGAAGAGTAAGACAAATACCATGTGATATCACTTATATGTAGAATCTAAAATGATACAAATGAAAGAGAACTAGAGTCACAGACACAGAAAACAAACTTACGGTTGCCAAAGTGGAAAGGGAGTGGGGGAGAGATAAATTAGGAGTTTGAGATTAGCAGATACAAACTACTATATATAAAATAAATAAACAATAAGGTCCTACTGTATAGCACAAGGAACTATATTCAATATTCTGTAATAAACCATAATAAAAAAGATTAAAACAATATATATATGTATAACTGAATCACTTTCTGTGCACCAGAAACTAACACACTGTAAATCAACTATACTTCAATTTAAAAAATAAAAATAAAATAATAATAAAAAAATAACATAAAACACACAAGTAGGAAAAAAATCTCAACAGTAAGAAAACAAATAGTTCATTTAGAAAATGGGCAAAAGACATGAATTGATATTTCACCATACAGAATATACAGATGGCACATAAGCCATGAAAAGATGTTCCACATCATTAGCCATTAGGGAAATGCAATTAAAATCACAATGAGATATCACCACACTCATATCAGAATGGCTATAATAAAAAATAGTGAGCACCAAATGCCGATGAGGATGCAAAGAAACTGGGTTACTCACATACTGCTGGTGGGAATTTAAAATGGTACAGTCACTCTGGAAAATAGCTTGGCAGTTTCTTTAAAACCAAATATATAACAACCATATGACCCAGCAATTGCTCTCCTGAGCATTAATCCCAGAGGAATGAAGACTTATGTTCACAAACCTACACACAAATGTTTATAGCAGCTCTCCTTGTAACAGCGATAAAATGGCAACAATCCTTATGTCCTTCAATGGATGAATCATTAAACAAACTGGTACATCCATGCCATGAACTACTACTCAGCAATAATGAGGAATGAACTACTGATACACAAAACAACCTGGATGAGTCTCCAGAGAGTCATGCTGGGTGAAAAAAGCCAATCGCAAAAGGTTACATATGGTAACCACATTCTCGAAATAACAAAATTATGTAATTTGGACAACAGACTGATTGGCAGGAATTAAGGAGGGGATGAGGAAGGAGGAAAGTAGGTATGACAGTAAAAGGGAAACATGAGGGGACTGTTCTGTATCCTGACTATATCTATGGCAATATCCTGATTGTGTTATTGTTTCTTATTTTGTAATTTTCTGAAATTTGTCATTTCGCATTTGTTCATGATACTCTTTGCTATCTAATGTCTTTAGATTATATGAAGTTAAAACTTTTCCCTTTAAAAAACAATAAAGGGGCACAAATCCAGTTCTAGAACTGCAACCTGAGAAAATCCTCCATCCACTCCCCAGTGAGAATACCAAAACTGGTTTTTTTTAAAAAAATTAAAGTTTTTAGAAATTGTCCTAAGGGCACACAACAAGCGAAGAAACATTTATTCAAGAAAATCTACCAAATCTCAGTAAGAGCAGTGAGAGTTTGTGGCACTTAAGCCACAACCCATTTCTCCCTTCACCCCAGTTCAGCATGAGGGAAACTCCACTCTCCCAAGTGTGTGACCAAAGACACAGGAATAGCACTCCCACAGCTCCCAGTCAAGGGCTATGGTATCTCCCCAGGCAAGGCAGGCTGCTAGCATTTCTCATGCCCCTACCTTTATTTCAGAGGCTAAATTCCAGGAAAGTACAACCAAGAAAGAGGTCAGAGCCTCCCGTCCTCCACCCAACCAGAGGGCTGGGTGGAGGACAAGACAAAGGCTCTTCCCCAGATACAGCAGGCCAAGAAGCTGGAGTCCCAGTCACCTTTGCCCAAGCTTGTTCATAGGGTGGAGGTTCCATGCAGGGTAAAAAGACCAGCGGCTACCGCCCTACCCAGCACCACACTCAAAAAGCAGAGGTGTCGCTCTAGAAGTGGATCGCTGCCTCCACCCCCAGCTCCACAGCTGTGGCTCAGAGAGTTTGCCCCAGGAGGAGAGGCATTCCATAAGAACTAAGAGCTCTGAAGTTCTCCCTACCTATACTGATTTGTTTGGAACAGAATGTGGAGAAGCTCAAGCCTAAGGGTGCTGTCAAAAACAACAGAGATTTGGGGGGTTAGCAATTAAGAGGAGGCTAGTAGCTTGGTAAGAGCGACAAACTCTACTAGAGGACCACTATGTTGTCAGAGGGAACCAGTGAAAGAGACAGCTAAAAAGAGCCCTCGAAGGGTTTTAAAAAAAAAAAATCAGACTTTCAGTAAAAAATGGCAAACTGGACACATATTTAGACACATATTTATCCTTTTTTTTTAATCCTTTTGAGAAGGACACACATGCTCCTTCTCAGAAACCTACTAAAATAACAATTTTATATTTTAAGACAAAGCTACAAGGATGAGACTAGGAGAAGAGGCCATTTTGGAAGCTAGAAAGCAGAATGGCTCTAAACTTCTCAACTTCTAGTGAAAGCTAGATGGAATGGAACAAGACTTTCAAAATTATAAAGGCAAATTATTTTTAACCTAAAATTCTATACTCTTCTAGCTTTGATCAAATTTAAGAATAGAATAAAGAATAGATCAAGAGGGCTTCCCTGGTGGTGCAGTGGTTGAAAGTCCACCTGCCGATGCAGGGGACGCGGGTTCGTGCTCCCATCCGGGAGAATCCCACACGCCGCGGAGCGGCTGGGCCCGTGAGCCATGGCCGCTGAGCCTGCGCGTCCGGAGCCTGTGCTCCGCAACGGGAGAGGCCACAGCAGTGAGAGGCCCGCGTACCGCCAAAAAAAAAAAAAAAAAAAAGAATAGATCAAGAAAAGCTTCTGACACAGGAAATATGAGATCCAACATTGGACAGAGGCAATGAGAACCCCAGGATGGTGGTAGTGAAATGAAATACCAGGATGACAGCTGTGTATCAGCCCAGACTTGTTGGGAAGGCTCCAGGGGAGACTATCTTGGGAAGAGATCAAGTACCATGCCTACAAATTCCTTGAAAAAAGATATTATGAAGATTTAAGGGTTGGGTTAGTGTTAAGTACACAGAAAACCACGCAAACAAACAAAAAGTTAAGGTGAGTATCATCTCCAGAAAAAGACAAAAAATTATGCAGGAAAGAAATTATCATTTTCTGTGTGGCTCAGCTACTATATATGGTATTTACACAGTTATAATATTGTAGACACTGAGTACCAATTTAAACAAAATAATAACCAATTTGGAAGAGGGAATTAGGACTTGTGGCACATGGGTCAGGAAGAAGAAAGCTACATCTTCATCTTCTACAGTTGAGAGTCAAAAGATTATGCCAGAAACTGAGAAATCAAGAAGTACCATTATCAGCATGTTACTTACAGAGCAGAGGTAAATACCTAAAGAATCAGGTAAAACAGACGAGGTGCTTACCCTGGAGAAGAAGAAGGTGCTAGTGCGGGACTACTGTTTTCTATAACAAACTTTGACAAATTCTTGACTCTTTAAAAACTATGTGCATTCTAACTTGAAATAAAATTCTTAAATGTATACTTCTATCTCTTCTATATTGTGTCACTTCATTCACCAGTGTTCGGGTTTCAGCGTGACTAGTTTATACCAGTACCAAAAAATTAATTTTATCTCTGCCTTGAAGGCATTATTATGAAGGCTAGACAAGATATTCAGAAATTCTGCTTTTAATAACAGCTACCATTACTGTGTGCCCAGTACTGTACTAAGAACCTTCATACATTATCTCCAATTTCCACAACAGCCATGCAAAGTAGGTATTGTCTCCATTTTACACGAGACCCTGATGCTCAGAGAGGTTAAATAATTTACTAATCTGTAGCAGAGCTCCTTGATCCCAGAGTTTCTGTTCTTCCTTCCTATTAGATCACATCACCTACATCACCTCTTTCTAGGGTTTGAGTTTAAAAGAACTACAAAGGGGAAAAAATGTAGCAGTTCAAAGAACTCCTTTGAGGGAAGGCCAGGGAGGGGAAGAGGAACCCTGAAGGATTCAGCGATATTACTAGGTAGCTGTCTACTGACTTAACCCCAAATTGGAGTTTCCAGCTGGTCATGTGAGCATAGAAAGCAATTTTTAAACTCTGGCTAGGAGCCCCTATGATTACAAAAATAAAAGCTCCATTCTGCTCTTATTTTGAAATAAGATATTCCAGCTGTTCCAGCATGGGCCTAAACACCCTGGTGAGGACACTAAGACGACAAGGTTTTGTGTCCAGGGATACCCAGTCATCCTACAAGGCTGATTTCCGAAAAGGAGGGGACAGATGCATAACTTCTTCCCCAGTGGTGACCTCGGTCTGGGATCTCAGACCAGATGATCTTGAGGGTCCCTTCTTAGTAAGATTCTAGGTTGTATTTACCTTGGTTTAAAACATTAGGAGTTTTGAGAGTGTCTTGGCCAGTTTCCTTTCTGGAATTGCGGTGTGATATAATCAAGACACTTGCCTGCCTCTTTAAGTCTATTGGTTGGTTGGTTCAGGTGTGGGTAAAGTGGCCAGTTTGAGGAACAACAATGTTGTTTACATTCTTTCTTTCTGAAAAGTCAGGAGCCACCGGCAAGAAATGAAAGTGAAATCAGGGGATAGTGTCATCAGTCAGCACAAATGTGACAAAGTTCAGAGAGCTGTTTACTTAGGCACAACTGCGCCTGCCAGCCAGTCATAAGCTCGGGGCTTATGCTCGGGGCTGCATCGTTCCAGTCTCCACCGGCCTCGTTTCTGGAACCTGACATTAGGACGCAGCGAGAGAGAAGAATCAAGCGAACATGATTTCCTGCTCCTCCTCTTTATGAGTGTTTTGTGGGTTCTGCATCTTCTTTTTGGTAAGTACCTACCCTACATGCCCCACAGCTCGCCCAGACGCCTGCCTCTCTGCAAGACAAGTCAGCTTTCCTCTCAGACCCTGCATTCTAGCCATGGGCCTGGGCAAACGACTGGTAGTCAGGATCTGGGGACCTTCCCCCCCATACAGACCCACCTTCGTGAGCTCTGCTCTTCCCTCCTTCTCCCTACTCCCTGCAGCATCACTGTGCGACTCTGGCCTCAGAAGAGGTGCAGGTAATGTCAGTATAACTGGTTAGAAATGCAGGGGAGAACTGTGGGCAGCAGGGTCTTGCACCGAGTCTGTACAAATAATGGTTTGTGACGCATGAAGTGGATTCTTCATCAGAAATAGGCCACCAAACAAAAGCAGATCACTGACTCGCAGTAGCTAAACTGGTAGTTACAGGAAACACTATGAGTTCTTAAAATACGCACTGTGGACTAAGATTGTCAGAAAGACCTGTGTTCTTGACTCAGAAAGAAGACAAGAGATTTTCAGACCCTGTGTTATTAGACTACATTGCTTTTCACACCTTGATGGAAATTCATGGCGGGATTTTAGTTCAGTTGGTGATCTTAAAAGATTTTTTTTTAATGTGGGCTATTTTCCTAATAATTTCCAATATGCTTCTTCACCTGTAAAATCAAAGGCTCTTTGGGAAGAGATAAATACATGTATTATGTGATTTGTCCTTCCTTCCTCCCTCATGACGGCTGAAATGCATTTTTCAGTACCTTCTTCCTAAACCTCATCTCTCCCAAAGTCCCGAATCCGTGCACATGACGTTCTCCTTTTGATTTTGTATATTCCCCTTTCTCAACACTCTTTCCAGCTAACCCCCTGCTTTATCTAGTCACTAAGATTGTTGGTTTTCTAAATTTCACTTTTACATAAATATAACACATGATTCTGGAAATATTTTTAATGTAAAAAGAAAGGAACTCTTACCCATGCCAGAGATATCAGGGCAAACATGAACATTTTAGAAAAATTCCTTAGTCTCTTTCTTGCAGTTATACTATAAAGTGTGATTTCAGACCTGGTTCTTCTAAAGGCTGCATAGAGTTTTAGTATCTTGATATGTCATAATTTGATTCTAATGTTGGGCATTCAAGTTGCTTCTCATTTTTTGCCAAAGTAATACTATGATGAACATTCCTGTATATAAATCATTGATTGCATTTCTGATTGCTGCCTTAGGGTAGACTCATAAGTGGAATTACTTGGCCAAAAGGTATGATGATTTTTAGGGTTTTCAGTGCCTTTTGCCATATTGCCTCCCAGAATGTTTCTAGGAATTTTCACATCCACCATCATTATATGAAAATGCTAGTTTTACTGCACTCTTGATATCAGTGTTTTTAGCTGCAGTTTTAATAGGGAAACTTATAGGTTATTTTACTTGGCATATCTTTGATTACATTACATGAGGTATATAGACTTTTTTTCATGTTAGTTAATGTGATAGAGTGTTTTATAATAAGAAATATGTGTTTGGTCTCTGTCCCCATTTCTGGCACAGAGCTCCTAAAACCCTTGGAATTTCCTTAGTGATAACAGAGGTAAAGGTGTCTTTTTTTTATTCATTACAAACCCTTTTCAACCACATCTGAGTTGTTAACTTTTGGGAAGTCGCTAAGAATGGGGCCGGCTGCCAGGGAAAACCACCACCCCAGCCCCCAACCTCTAGGGAGGTGAGAGCGGCTGGAGACTGAGTTCAATCACCAGTGGCCAATGATTCAATCATACCTACGTAATGAAACCTCCATAAAAATCCCTGAAGTACAGGGTTCAAGAGCTTCTGGGTTGGTGGACACACGGAGATGCCAGGAGGGTGACAGGCCTAAAGAGGGCATGGAAGCTCCACGACCCTTCCCCCCACCCTTTGCCCTAGGCATCTTCTGGGTGGCTGTTCCTGAGTTGTATCCTCCTATGATGAATGAGTATTCTAGTAAGTAGGCTGTTTTCCTGAGTTCTGTGTGAGCCACTCTAGCAAATTAATCAAACCCAAGGAGGGGGTCATGGGAAACTCGAAGTTATCCTAGACTTGCACTGCGGGGGGCAGCGCTCGGCTTGTGGCACTGACCCCTTAACCTGTGGGATCTGATGCTATCTCCAGGTAGATAGTGTCAGAATTAAGGTAAATTATAGGACATCCAGGTGTCACAGAAACTTCCTTGGTGGGGAAAAACCCTCACACATGTGGTGGAGGGTACAAATAAACAGAAGAGCTTTTACAGTTAACTATTTTGCATTCCTTCTTACGTGAAATATCTCTTCATATGCCTTGTCCATTTTTATGGAGATTAATGTTTTTCTTATCTGTTTGCATGAACATTTGTTATATTAGGTATATTAACCATTTCATGTTTGTTGCAGATATTTTTCCATACTCACTGACTTTTTTTGGGGGGGCTGCATTGGGTCTTCTTTGCTGTGCTCTGGCTTTCTCTAGTTGTGACGAGCGGGGGCTACTCTTCGTTGCGGTGTGGTGGCTTCTCTTGTGGCAGAGCACAGGCTCTAGGCGTGTGGGCTTCTGTAGTTGTGGTGCAAGGGCTCAGTGGTTGTGGCTCACGGGCTCTAGAATGCAGGCTCAGTAGCTGTGGCGCACGGGCTTAGTTGCTCTGTGACATGTGGGATCTTCCTGGACCAGGACTCGAACCCGTGTCCCCTGCACTGGCAGGCAGATTCCTAACCACTGTGCCACTAGGAAAGCCCTCCACGATCACTGACTTTTAATTTTACATTTTGTTGTATAAAATGTATATTTTAATAGTTAAATCTGTACTGCTTTTTTCTTTGTAGTTTCAATTTGCTTTTAAGCTCAGAGCATTCTTTCTCATTCATAAATCAAATATTTACTTTTTTCTAGATCTTTTTTTTTTCTTTTGTCTGTTTGTTCCTTACACTTCACTATCGGATCCATGTGAAATTTATTTTGGTATGTGGAGTGAGATGAGGCCCTAAAATAGTTTTCTTTTGTTTTAACTAATCAATTGCTTCAGCATTAGTCAATGGAAAACCCTTTCTTCCACTGAATTATAACACCAATTTTACGGTGTATTAACTTCATATACATGGCTTTTCTGAGACATTCTGCTCTCTGAGCTGTCCATCCAGTACCCCTGCCATTCTGTTCTATTGGGCCCACTTCCCCCTCAGTTATTTCTCCTTGGGAGCTGGACACTGCAATGACCTCAGTGACTCTAGCCTGCCTTAGGCCTCTTCAAGTGAACTACAGCTTAAGGTGAATTAATTAATATAATAAATATCTTTGGAAGTTTAATCTTCACATATGCATACACAGTATGTTCTCGCAGAAACTGACACTTTTTGCAGGGCTTTATTCTATACCCCTAGGCTCACACCACCTCAGCTGTCTCAGTCCTGTCAAAATGACAGAACTGAAATAATTTAGTAATGAGTTTACTCATTCCTTCGTTCAAGGAAAAACAATCCACAGATCCAGGGAGCGTGGCGCCTCACAAGCGGTGGAGCATTCTTTCTAGGGATGTGGGACAGAGCGTTAGAAGAGGCAACGTGGCTTATGATGAAGCCTCGACCTCGTAGCCAGCAGGTCCTGTTTCCTGGGGAAGGTGAGCTGGCTCAGGCTGCTGGAAGACTGTGATTGGTGTATGTTAGGGTTCCTTGACAGGTGTTTCCCAGGCAGGCTGACTTGGGTTTAGATTTGTGACCTGGGCTGGGCCACTGGGGCCGCCTCATTTTCTGAGTCCCAATATACAACTTAACTTGATCAGCCAAAAATCTAGACTTGAATAGACTTTGGGAGGGGACGCCCCCGATCCCCAGCTCTTCTGTGAGGACACAGATCTTCTGCCCACTCAGCAGCAGTAGGGAGGTGCAGGTACTAACAGCCAAGACCCTGGCAGAGCAGAGAACACAAAGGAGCAGCGACCTCGGCCCCTTCCTGCAGCATCCCGCCCACCAGGAAGCATCAGGCCTCAGTCAGCACCCCCCTAAGAGTGACCAGGGAAAGATTCACTTTCTGAGGGATGGAGGGAGAGGCCCCATAGCACCTGCTACTCAGTTTGCCTGTGATTTGCTTTCTTTGAGTTATTTTAGTGAGTTACAAAGCCATTTCATATGCGTTACAAACTCTCCAGGTAAGAACCGCATCCTCCTGTGTGGGGATGGAGGTGAAGTCCGAGAAAACTTAGCCTCCTTTCCAGCCAACTCTCAAAATAACTTTTGCAAACCTGAAGGTCTAAGTCTAAGTGACCATCTATCATTCTTTCCCTCCTCTTCTTTCCTTTTGACTTCTGGCGGCAAACTATGTTCACTAGTTTTACAGCAGGGCTAGTGGGCAGAACCACCAGAGACAATGCCTGGCACTGCTCCAACCCCAGTTCAGGCTCTCTCCGCACCTTCAGCCCCGCCACCTGGGGCCTCGCGCCTTAGGTTTGGGGGAGCAGGGGCTTGAGTTAATGAAGCACCTAGTGAGGATATAATCCAAACCTCTCACCCTGGCCTCCAAGGTCCTCAGGGACCTGGGTCCGCTCACCAGTCCAGCCTCGTCCTGTCCCCTCAGTCACTGGGCTGTCACCCAGTGTCTGTTCCTCTCCCAACCCGGTATTTATAACCACTGCACTCTGTTTCTAGAAGCCTCTTCCCCTGGCTTTTTCACATCCCTCAGGCCTCAAATCAAATGTCTCCTTCACAGACAGGCCTTCCCTGACCCTCCAATGGAGACCCATCACTTCCTTCTACCAGGTTCTCTCCTTCACATCACCCTGTTTATTTGCTTCCCAAATCTCTTCAAAAATTATAATTATCTTTTTAAAAATACATGTTTGGTGTTTGTCTCCCCAACCAGAGTGCAAGCTCAAGGAAGGCAAGCCCCTGCTTTGCCCCGCATGTTACTGATTCCCCAGGGCCTGTGACTCAGGGAATCGTCCAACATGTATGATCGCTGGAGTCACAAGAGGAAACCCTGGCCTCATCAGTAGAACGGGGGGCAGTGGCTCTCCAGGTGAGTGCAGGATAGAGGGCAGAAGCAGCATAATCGAGGGCGACAGCAAAGGCCGTCACTCTTTGCTGGTACTGTTATTTGTCTTCAAACTCTGCCTTGGGGCCTGTGAATCTTGGCCCCCCCGTAAACTGCACTGTGAAGTCCCCCCAGTAAAAACCAAACGAGGATGGGTCCCAAGGTGCAGGCGTTTTCTCATTTTTAAGGATTATTTTTCCCCCGCGCTAAATTTTTTTTGACCTTTGTTCCCAGCTGGATCATCTGCTTACTAGCAGGGCTAATGAGCAACAAAACAACTGGACAAACAGCAAGTTAATATTAATGGAGCTGCTGAGACAGTCTATTGCGGTAGCTTGCTGGAGGTGGAGGGGGTGGCGAGTGCGCCAACTCCACGCTGCAGTCTCATGGTGTAGTCATGTTTCTGCTGGCAAAGCTGTTTTTATTTACATGGAAAAATTAAGTAAATCCAGACGTCACAGTGTTCCATAAAAAGCCACTGCTGGCCCGGCCATCCGTGCGGCATCTGAAACCCAGGCGGCTGCTTCCATCTTACAACATTTGGGAAACAGCGCTGTGGCCTCGTTTTCAAAAGTAAGAACCTGAGCTCACGTTTCTGCCAAAGCAAATATGACACATTTCCCTTTCTTCTTCCCTTTTTGTTTTCGTCAGGAGCCACACCCAAACCACAAGCGACATGATGGCTCAACGAGTTCAGCTAGACAGATTTTCGCCAGGGCTGGAGGCCCCCTCTGACAACCTGGCTCTCTCCTCTGTCAGATTCTGTTTTTCTGACTTTCTTCTGCTCGTATTTTCTTCCCTGGGCTTCGCTCCCCCCCATTCACGTCGCAGCCACGCCCTCCGCCCCTGTCCTGCTCTTCCCTCGTGTCCCCTTTCTCCCCTGGACCACAGCCTCCACCACGGCACCAGAGCAGGCAGCAGTCCACCTGTGCAGATCAAATTAACTCACTTCAGTCTCACAACAGCCCCCAGGGACAGGCCCGAAGGCGCGTTAAGGGCGGGGATGTAGACTCCGGCAAGCTCACTGACATGCCCAAGGTCACGCGCTATGAGCGACAGGACAGCAGCCTGAACCCCGGTGGTCTGGCGCTAAGGTCCACGCTCTTCACCACCACATCCCTCACACCATCCCGGAGTCGTCCGCGCCAGCCACCAGTGAGGACAGCTTCCTGGAGTCCAGGTTCTCCGGGGAAGCTCTGTTCTGAACTCCAGTACTAGTGTCTCCTCAAGAATGTCACTTCTCTGAGCCTCAGTTTCCTCTCTATGATAATAATTTAAGTAACACTAGGTAACGTTCCACATGCTGCATAAATCACCTCACTTAATTTCCATAACATTTACAAAACATGCTCTATTGTTATACCCATTTTGCAGATGAGAAAACTAGGCAGAGAGACATTCAGGTAGCTAGTAAATGGTAGAGCAGGGATTTGAACCCAGGACACACAGCTTCAAAGTCTAAGCTCAATGTCACCCCCATACAAGAGGAGAATAATGTGATGTCCACACACTGTGGCCGTGAAGATTAAAGGGGATGATGCACGTGAGGGCCAGACCTCGGGAGACAAGACTCAGGTTCTTACAGTGATTTCACAATTCTGCCCGACAGGCCTCACCAGGCTCACTTGGGGAAGTTATTGAGCCTCACTAAGCCTCAGTTTTCTCCTCTGGAAAGTGAAGATAATAACATTAAATGTGCTCTCATAGTGAAAACTTAAGAATACCTGCTTAGTACAGGGCCTGGTGCAGAGTAAATGCTCAAAAAGATTTTGAGGTCAGTATTTGATCTTTAATAAGCCCTCAATCAAACTAGATTCTTTCTTTGACACCTCCAGTGATCATAAAGACTTCTCAAGGCAAGTTCTGCCCTCCAAGCTCCCCTATAGCTTTCTTAAGTCATTAATGAGAAGGAAGGCCGGGAGATGAATTTGTAGCCGACAAACTAGAAACCCATTCGTTTTTCTTTCAAGCTTCCGTTCCACAAAACTTGCACACTGTGTAGTGTCTGTCAGCAGCAAAATGATAACATCCAAGTTTTGCCAGGTCATGGCAGCAACTGCTCCTGCTGGTGCGGGGGCGGGGCGGGGCCTCACCACACCTGAGTCCCTCCTTGCAAGGGGCCTCACAGTGTCCAACGCCTGAAGCTAGCTACAGGCTCACATACATGTCTGAGAAACAGGGGACAAGCTTGAGGAAACTTACATTTAGGAAATGGGAAGCATAAAAAACAGAGAAGGAGGAGAACTAGGACAGAGATTCAGGTCAAAAAAATAGAAGCAGGGCTTCCCTGGTGGCGCAGTGGTTGAGAGTCCGTCTGCCAAGGCACGGGATGCGGGTTCGTGCCCCGGTCCGGGAAGATCCCACATGCCGCAGAGCGGCTGGGCCCGTGAGCCATGGCCGCTGAGCCTGCGCGTCCAGAGCCTGTGCTCCGCAACGGGAGAGGCCACAACAGTGAGAGGCCTGCGTACCGCAAAAAAAAAAAAAAAAAAAAAATAGAAGGAGGCATTTACGAAGCTCTATGTGCCATGGCTGACGTTCACGAAACCATTCAGAGGTCACTCAGTGGATACTTACTACGTGCCCATAATGTGCCAGGTAGTCCTGGGTGTTGCGGATGTAACAGTTAAAGGCAGATTTTGAGAGAGACGGGCAGCCATAGATTTTTGTCTGATTTGCCTAACAGATAAAATTCCTTGCCCACATGAAGTTTACATTCTACTGAGGGTTGTACATGGAAGACAAAAGAAAACATTTAGCACGTTAGATGGTGGAAAACGGCAAGGAGGAAGAGCAGGGAAGCAGCACAGGGAGAGCGGTGCCGGTGCCGCGGAAGGGCTGCTGCGGCTTCAAAATGCCGACCAGGGATGGCGCCACTGAGAAAGGGACCTTTGAGCAGAGACCCAGGGGAGGCAGACACGTGGTGACAGAAGAGCACTCCAGGCGAGGAATGCAAGTGCAAAGTCCCAAGCTTGCCTAAAGTTTTTGGAAAATGCAAAAGGAGCCAATGTGGCAGAAGCTGGGGGAAGGAGTGGAGAGCAGGAATAACGGGAGAAGAGGTCCAGGAGGTGACACGGGCACTAACAGCACTGGGGAGTCCTGATCCCAAAGAAGCAGGAGAAGGCCAAGTTATTGTTAATGTTGTCCCTGGAAAGTGGGCGCCCTTGGCGTCAAGAGTCATCCTTGTTAACAAGCTCCAGGACATTTACACACCTGTGGGCACAGCACACTGTATCATTCCCTGGCCGAGGAATTCAAACGTTCCAGAGTCTCGTCCCCACCCTCTGGAGCGGGAGCTCGGGCTGAAGGGGACACTTACAGGAACTTGCCTTCCTCTCCGATGGGCACCTATAAGGGCTCATTAAACACGTGATGAACGAAGCAGAATCTCCCGGTGGTGGACGAGTGGTGCCCTGATATGAGCGCCAGTGTAGGGTGCTCCAGGAGGCTACCCTCGGGGGCAACATTCGGGACAGAGGCGTGCAGGTGGTGAACTCGGGCAAAATGGCGAGAAACTAAATAAGCCCCAGCTATATGAAGTCTTGTTACTGAATATCATTAGACGCTCAGGCAGGAAGAATGAACTGAAGAAACAGAATGAGGTGGGTAATTTGGGAGTGGGTATTTTTGCTAAGTCAATGTAGAGAAAGGAGTTTTGTGGGGAATCTCGTATGTTGGGGTAAGATGAAAATGTAATATGTGAAGTCATGATTAGAGCAGTGACGAATCAGAAGTTATAAATAAGTGTGTGATCAACATCTGTATACAGCAGCCGCATAATGATTAAGCTGACAGATATTTTAGCCTAAAAGAAAGAAGTGCTTGGGAGCTGGAGCTACAGACCTTCTCTAAAATGGAAACAAAAGGTCGACAGGCAGCAGTTTGCAAAGTCCACTTTGACCCTGGAACTCAAGGGAGCACGTGGTAGGCCTTCAGCCATCTGAAGTAAACAAGCCAGTGTCGGTGGCAAGAGCCAGCCTCCCCGCTCCATCAGCCCTTCTCAAGTGTCCCTTACAGTCAAGGGGCAGGCCAGGGGTGAAACCTATGCTGGGAAAAGCTCTCTGGTCACCCGTTCTCTGCCTGCCAGGTGTCCCACCCTCGGGGCGTGGGCGGCCAGAGGGATTTCCAGTGCAACAATCCGCCAGAGCTCCAACCCTCCCTCAGACACCACCTCATGCAAGTTTCCCTCTTTTAACATGAAGGTGGCAAGAACGTAATTTAGAAGATCAGGATACTATGTCTGTGCCTCTTTCAGCCATCATCCCATCAGCGTGAAAACTTCAGAGGTGCTTAAACTAGAAAACAAAAGCAGACAAACTGCCTCGAATGCACTGTCTGGGAGTGTTCTCCTTCTGCTTCTCTAACTGGGACCCTGCTGCCCTGGGCTCTCCGGTGACAAGCGTGAACACACTCCACACACTCAGAGTCAAGATCTGTGTCTTGGTCCAGGGGCCCCACTGCCACAAAAGGGTTATGCTTTACGATGACCGTTGTGACGACAAAAGGCTAGCAGCCTTTATTTATAAACAGCTCATATACAGAAACCAAACAGAAACCAAAACTGAAAATGATAGAAAGAAAAAAAGGAAATGACAGCACTCCCAAGAGAAGAAAACAGAGACGGTAAACAAACACTTAAAAAACGTTAAACCTTGCTCATTAAAAAGAAACAGTACAGCAATGCTGTGTCATTTTTCATTATCAAAGATGAAAAGACAAGAAAATTCAATCTGGGAGGATGAGATGAGATAAGTTCTCTCTTAAGCTGCTGGTGGAAGGATAAACTGATTCACAAACATAGTCACCCTGGCATTATTTTTAATATTATAAAACAACATCGTAAGACAGAATATATAAACCATACACAATAGAACAGCTAACGCAGCCGTTAAAAATATTGTTTAGGAAACACTTCTAGTGACAAAAGGAAATATTAATGCTATAATGATGTTTACAAAGCGGGATACAAGCACATATATTTACGTGGTCCCAACTATGTAAAACAACATTATAGAAGGAAATGTGTCGTTGACTGGTTACTTCTACAACCTTGAAATTATAGACGATTTTTAGTCTTGTCACCATACTTTCGTGCATTTTTCTAGTTTTCTACAACCAAGATGCATTACTTTATTATAAACAGGAAAACTTCACCTAAAAATAGCAACAGTGACTCAGCAGTGTCCCCTTCTGCCCTCTGAAGGAAGCACAGGCTTATCATCTAAAGGGAACTAAAAAGCTCATTGTGGTGAGAACATGAACACTAGGATTGTTAAAAGCCAAAACAAAACAAAACAGGGTAAGCTCTTAGGAAGGCAGAGCAGAGTACCCTAGGGTTTTCCAACCAAATAACCATATCGTTTTACTGGGAAGTGTTTAGAAAAAAGAAGCTAGGACTAGCCCCCAACCTCTCTGTCCACATCCCAACAGGAAGCACGGAGGAGCCATCCCAGCACTGAGTATATATGAGACGTAAAACACGGCCCCTCACCTCAAGAAGCTTTGCCGTCTTGTTAGATAAGTACATGCAGGACCTAAAGGGCGCTACATGTCATTTTCATTCAAAAAAAAAAAAAGAGTTCCTACTGTGTATCACGCACCATTCTGGGATAAAACAGCGAGTGGGAGCATAATCTTGGCCTTCAGCTACAGCAGAGTGTGGGCTGAAGTAGTCTGAGAAAGCTGGTGAAAAATTAGTAGGACTCAGAGAGGCAGAGAACAGGGTAGGACTTGAGGAGGTGGAGTGCCTGAGCGGGTGGGCAGTCGGGAACGGGGACTGTGGGCAGGTGCCGGACTGAGCAAAGCAAGGGGGGAAGACCAAAGGGAGCTGGACCTCACTGGAGAACCCAAGTTCAAGTTCTAAGCCATACCAGATCGTGGTGAGCCTCACGTACCAGGCATAGGAGTTGGGACTGAATTCTATGTGCATAAAGGGGTGAGAGGAAGTAAATCAGGGACTACCACCTTCTCCACACGCCGGCTCATGGGCTTCCTAGCTCCAATTTATTTTGTCTCACTCTCTGTTGAAAACCTCGAGAGAGAAGAGGAAGTCAGAAACAAAGGCCCTGGGTGCCTGGGGAGCTGCTGATTGACATGGCTCGGGCAGTCTCCTCTGAGAAGCCCCGGGAATCTTTTTGCATTAAGCTTAATATATACATATATTTTTTTAGCCCAAGTGTAACAGGCTTGAAATAGGAGAAGTAAGAGGGAGCGTTTACACAAAGGCACCCCAACTCCCAACCTGGACCATGGAGGCAAGTCAAATCTCATTTCCCACTGCACCATGGTGTAAATCCGGATTCCAGTCCTGGAAATCCATCCTACACCCCGAAATACCTAAATGCATTAAAAATGGAGATACAGGCTTTTACAAACATTTGTTAATATGTAAAACCGTGCAAACTATGTTCCTGTTGGGAATTTTTCCCATCCCGTGGGCTGCACCGGTTAAAACTTACCGTACCAATCTAATACCGTAGACTAAACACACTCTTCTTATACCTGGTGAATCTTTCTGTCTCTGCCAAAGGAGTCACTGATAAATCTTTATTCTCATCAGCCACCTACTGCAGACTGAACATCTGTGTCCCCCCAAAGTTCGTATGTTGAAACCTAACCCCCAACGAGACAGTATTTGTAAGTGGGGCCTTTGGGAGGTGATTAGAATGGGATCGGTGCCCTTAAAAAAGAGGCCCCAGAGAGTTCCTGGTCCCTTCCACCATGTGAGGACACAGCAAAAAGCTGAGCCCTTACCACACTCCGAATCGGCCGGTGCCTTGATTTTGGACTTGCCGCCTGAACTGAGAGGAAGAAATCTCTGTTGCTGACGAGCCACCCAGTCCGCGGTAATTTGCTGTAGCAGTCTGCATGGCCTGACGCTGCCCTCCCCCTCAGTCTGTTCCACATCCTGCCCCCTCTCACCACGCTTTGTTTTTCCACGCGCAGGACAAGTGTGGGAGTGGTCAGGCAGACCCTCCAGCCAGCTCTGGGAAAGGTGAGGGGCTGCACCTCTCAAGGGGTCCCTCCAGAAATTGATCTCCAGGGCCACCACTGGCCACCACTCCCTGCACTGCCCACACCACGGGCAGCCCTGGCCGGGTGCACTGCAGGATACCACTCTGTGTTCTGGCCCTGTGCTCCTAGGCACTTCAGGATGGAAATGGCTGTTTTGTTCCATATTGGCAAATTTACAAATATGAAGGCATAGTATGCAGATTACTGTTTGAGAGGCCAATGTGGAGAAGTCCTTCTGATTAAAAACTTAGTGAAAATATTTTTCCAAAAAGATGACGAAGGTACATCCTATATATATCGATACTATATACTATGGAGGGACTAGAGAAGGCAAGTTTCCTGTAGATCAATTTGGCAAAATGCAGTAAAATCACTAAAAAATATTGCTACCCTTGACCCAGTGATTGCAGTTTTAGATATTAATCCTAAGGAAAAATCAGATTCAGCAAAGTCTCAGGCCAAAGGTCATTCAGTTATGATATTTCCCGCCCTCAAAGCTGCCAGGAGGGCCCTTCCTCCTGATCTCAACCCAGAGAGGCAGCTGAGGACTTAGCCCCTGGAGCCTGCCTGGAGGTTACCCCAGATGTCTTGGTTTTAGTTTGGCTGTCTTGAAGGGAGTTTGCCACAGGTTTTTATGGAATTCCAGAAGGGAGAGCAGGAGCTTGAGAAGAAACTGGGAGGGAGACAGGGAGAAATGGACACTCACGGCGTGACTTCCTGCAGGTACCCAGGAAGGCGCCCTGCGAAGCGCAGGAGAAGATGCCCGTCCTAAGGTCAAGGCGGAGTAACCAACTGCTGTTCCTGGGAATCATGACACTCACAGTCACAGTGATCTTTCTGCTGTTCTTTGCTCTCCTCTGGAAGGCCGGCAACCTTATCGACTTGCCCAACCTCAGAATTGGCTTCTACAACTTCTGTCTTTGGAACGAGGGCACTGGAGCCCTACAGTGTCACCAGTTCCCTGAGCTGGAGGCCCTGGGGGTGCCTCGAGTTGGCCTGGCCCTGGCCAGGCTTGGCGTGTACGGGGCCCTGGTCCTCACCCTCTTCGTGCCCCTGCCTCTCCTCCTGGCCTGGTGCAACAGTAACGAGGGAGAGTGGCAGCTGGCCGTGGGCTTCCTGGCCACGTCCTCCATGCTGCTGGCCAGCGGCCTGGGCCTCTTCCTCACCTACACATGGAAGTGGCTCCGGCTCTCCCTCCTGGGGCCTGGGTTTCTAGCTCTGGGTGTTGCCCAGGGCTTACTCATCCTCTTGCTTATGGCCACAGTCGTGTTCCCTCAGAGGGCAAAGGACAAGAACTTGAGAGCTGCTAGCTCTAAAGGCTTACGTGATTGCAAGGGTTCTGTTTGAACTATGCTCAGAGAAGGTGCCAGAGGATTCACGGGCTGCTGTGTCTTCTCAGCCATCCTGCTTCATAGCTAATACTGATCTCAAGACTAGCAGACGGGACCCACCGCGGAGGGAGTAGGGCACCCGACGTCAAGGACAGGCAGCAAGGGCGGCCAGGGCTCCCTCGGCCACTTAGTGTAGGGTTGTGCGTCCTTTGGGACTTTTAAGGTTCCCAAGGTCACCCTAAAACCACACAGCTCATTGTCACAAGAATTCCTGCTTTAACTAACTGATCTGAGCAAGCCATTCTTACTTTATCCTCAGAACAATGGGGAGATAAGGCTTCCTGTCATGGGGCCAGATTTCCAGTACAAGTTGCCAAACGCCAGACTGGAACCCAGTGAGGGTTTATGAAGAAACACCTCAGGGTCCCTGGGGGCCCTGCCTGGCAGGCTCCCCATCTCCATCCAAGGCGGGTAGAACGCGATGAGCCCCTCACCTCTGACAACGCTCCCAAAGGCCCAGGAATAACCTGAGGGATTCACCGAAGACAGAACACATGGGCACAAAGAGCAGCCTTGGTGGCTTTGACGGTTCCCCTGAAAAGGCTCCCGGCTCCCTGAAGGCTCCCTGAAGGCTCCCTGAAGCCCGACAGAGCAGGGAGTCAGCGGGCAGATCCCTCCCAGCACGTGACCTGGGAGTTCACGAGCCGAAGACACCGGGTCCCTGGTCAGGAGAGGAAGGTGAACAGGACTGAACAGTTCCACATCCACGTGAATGCTGCATCCCCTCACCTCTCACCCCCGGCCCAGAAAGGATACAAGCACAACTCACGCACTGGGGAACTTTGTGTATTTTTCAGCACCTATATATTGAAAACCTGTACAGCACGTGATTGCCTCATCCTATGCCTGTCAAAAGCCACACTGAATACAGAAGCAGAAACACGGACTCTAGTGTGATGTCTTGTCCTTGGTGTCTCCTTTGGGTTCCTGTCCCACTCTTGCTTTCCGACTGTCCAGGGACCAAGGCCGAGGCCACCAAGTGGAAGAAAGGTGGCAGCTCAGGGGGAGGAGGCCTGATTGGTCAGGAGGCTTCCCAATCTGTACGCTGAGCCTCAGGTTCCTGGACGGAGCCCAGCACTGTGGCAGGATGTCTGGTTCAGGGCTGGACGAGCAGGGGCTCACAGACTGATCGAATGCCTCGTGATGAAGGCTATTTTTAAAATAGGCTTCCTCCTTAGGGAGGCCAAACAGTAGGAATTCCAGTGTACTTAGCAGCCATACTTGTTTTTCTTTAAACATTATTAAGTTGACTCTTTGGTTCCAGTAAATTGACCACCACAACCTCATCTCCCTGGAACCAGGTAACTGAACACAACAGACTGTGGGGATCCCAGACCCTCTGAGCAAGGAGAGAGCACAGTGCAGGGAGGATCTCTAACGGGAGCTCATTCTGATTCCTCACTTCCCAAGGTGAATCTGTGCAGCCCAGAGAGGCGCAAAGCTGGGAGCAGAAGCCGTGACAGTCTGAGGGCAGCGCCCAGGCCAAGAGGGAAACCCCGCTTCCTTCAGCCACTCTGGGCAGAAAGTCCTGGAAGTTTGTCCCTTAGCTGAAAAATATCTCTCTGACGTATTTTAGCGCGTCCTGATCCTCCCCGAGTTCTCTGCCGCAGGCCGAGTCAGAACCCGCAGGCCCCGGAGGAGGGCCGTCTTCCCCACAGTCCTCGTCCTCGCTGTCCTCGCTTCTGCTCCCGCGGGGACTCGGGGACGGCGGCGCTGAGCTGGCCGGGGACTGCTCTGGCTTATCAGCGCCTGCCAGAGGCAGCTGTTCCAACGGCTTTTCCTGTTTTCGGCCCTGCTGAGTAGAAGCAATGGCAGGCAAAACAGACGGGGGTTTACTTCCCTAACGTGCTGGTTTATCTGTCGGTGACGCAGAACATGCCCAGAAGCAACTGTGAAGCCAGCACCGGACGAGTCAGGCCCTGCCCCCAAATCACAGATGGCCCCTCCCTCCCTTCACCCGACCCCTCCCCTCCCCGCCACCCCTTCTCAGATGGTGCAGAAGTAGAGACCAGCTTGGGAGAGCAGCGGCAGGGGCCTGAGGAATAGCGCCACAGGAAAGAAAACTAGAATAAATGTACGTGGAAAGGCGGGTGACAGAATGCAAGGAGCACAGGAGACGAACCCCGAGTGCGGGTCTTAGCCTCTCCCTTACTGGCACCAAATCACTTATTGTAACTAATAATAATATCTATCAGCAGGTTATTGCAAGGAATAAATGCGATAGGAATATATAAAAGTCCCTGAGCAACTATCAAGTACTATCAAGTACTACCAACTATCAAGTACAACTCTAAAGTGGGACAGTTATCATTTGCTTCCGGAAGCCAAGACACTCAGCGGCGTGGTGCTCCGTACGGCGCTCAGAAGTCACCTCGCCTGACTGAGACCCTCCAGAGAACATGAGCAGTTAACGACTTCTGTCCCGTCCACACGCCACCAGCACAAAGTCACCCAAACAGAGAGGGCTGCCCTCCCTCGCACAGCTGCGCCCTCCCAGGTCTCCAGCCCCAAGCGGGTGCCCACCAACCAGGGAGCGGGCTGCGGATGAGTGGGCTCCTGGCCACCCCAGCAGGCAGGGCTCCTGTTTTATTAGCATGAACCAGGCCCTGGTCTAGTTTCTGCCCACCAAGAGTTTCTGGTCATAAGAAAAGACACAGCTGACTTTACCTCAATCAGGATCCCCAGAGCAACGTCTACGATTTCAGCTTCATTCATGCAGTACACAGTCCTCATGGCAGGAAGTCTGAAAGAAAAGCACAAAGCTAGAGATGGCACGGAATCACCAGGAGGAGAGAATGAGAGCAAGAGCTGCATCTCAGGGCCTGCCCACCAGGGGTGAGAGCAGCAGCTTCCCCAGGGCACCAACGTGGCTTCTGCATCCTTGTAACCAGTGACTGGCACAGGGGGTTCTCAGGGCAACAGTGTGGGGCTTCCCAGCCTCCACCAGCTCCCCTGAGGATCTGGAAACAGGGCACGATGGCCGGCTTCTGAGAGTCAAACTCACACACATGGTGGATGCGAGCAGATCGAACAAGCCAAGACACAACCCACCCCCCTCCCACCGCAGTGCATGAACACAGTAAAGGAGGGCGGCACAGACCAGAAATCGCGGCTGGCCAATGAAGAAAACTTAGAAAGGGAAGGGCAGAGAGGGACAGTGAGCGCCTGGGACCACGAGGGGAGAGGGGAGGGACATCCCCTCCGTGGCAGCCCAGAAACCCCCGCCATTACCACCATTCAACTAACCCACCCCACGGCCTCTGATCTCAGGCCGGCACAGTAACCTGCAGCTTGTCCACCTGTCCCTGAAGATCTACCCGCAAGGAGTCGGGACCATCTCGTCACTCATCTTGCCCAGTGGATGGTCACAATTTCTGTGGCAAGAGAAGAGACTGGCAATTTGGACAACTGGCGTCTGAGAGCTTGGCTGGTGTGTGTGACCCGAGAGGGGGAGCCGCTATCCAGGAGCTGACAAGTGAGGGTCTGGCGGTGGAGATTCACCAAGAGAGGCAGAAGCCGGTGCCAGTCTGGGAGGGCACAGCTCACTTCCCGTGCACCCCCCGAGAGCTGATGAGAGGTCTGTGGACTGAAACACCCCACCTCACCGTTCTGCCAACACGGGAAGAGTGGGCCCCGGCAACTGTGATGTCCCAAATCCCTCCCCCTGTCCTAATTCCCCAGGAGGACCAGAAGCTGCCCCACCTTGCTGCAGCCACTGGCACCGTGGCTGTTCTCCTCTTGGGGGTCTTCACCTGCACCGTCCTCTTTTCAGCCACCTGGGCTGTCATCCATGCGGGAAGCACCCTTTTTTTATTCTCAGATTTTAAGTCTTCCATCTCCCTAGTCTCTCATGAAGAGGAACCAGGGCCCAAGCTTAATGACTTCAGGACAGCAAATCCCACTCTCTCATCACACCAGGAATTATAGGTCTGTTTGTCCTGAATGGGAGTCCAGCTTTAATTCCTACAAAGAAGAACAAAGACCAGTGAATTCTAATCAGCAAGAATACTCCCAGGCATCAGCCGAAATTACTGGTCAGGGCAGGGCCCAGGAGACGCAGATGTGCCATTCACAGGGCATGAAGGGGCAGGCGAGGGGCTCAGGGAGAAGCAGCCCTCCACGCAGGGCCCAGGGACCCCACCGGCAGCCAGGCCCAACGCCTCCAGGAGCCTCTGCACTGAGCCATTCCACACGGGAGGAGTGGCATGAACACCCTCCCAGGAGGAAAGAGGGAGGGAGGTGCCCCTGCTCCTCTCCACCGCAGAGGCTCACGGTCCCCAGGGTGTCCAGACTACCCTACCCTTAAGACACCTCTCCAAGATCTCTCCCCTGTTTCTCCCAACCACAGACTTCTCATTCCCTCTTCTGGGAGCGGTTATAAGAAATTCCAAGGCCATTTTGATTCACAATGAGGTTTCACCGGCCAACACCCACTCCCTTACACCAAAGATACTTCTGACCCGTCAGATTTCAGCCAGCAGTAAGGTCAGGAATCCAGAAGCTGGGGCGCCGGGCTGGGGGGAGTGTCTCACCTTACCGGGCCTCTCCCCACCCGCATTGGATTCCTTCCACCTCAGCCCTTCCTCCTAAAGCTCAGCCCCGACCCTGTGTCTCAAAGGGTGCAGGGCTCCACCCTCCACTTAGCAGTTAACCCTGAAGGCAGCTGCGGGCGCCTTCTGCCTAAATTCAAGCGGTGCTAATACTCATTCCCACATCTAACGAGCACCGCTAACCGCCCGGCACAAACAGCGCGGCGGTCGGTGCATACACTGATTTGACCGTGAGGTAGATATGCTGAAGCGTATTTAACAGATAAGGAACTGAGACTGAGCAGTATGCACAAAGTCACAAAAAAGTTTGAAATGGCCGGCCGGGACACGCACCCGGGTCCTCCAGACTCCGCCGGCTGGGGGTGGATGAGGGCCTGGGACGCCCCGGCGCGGCCCCGCGGGCGCGTGCCCAGCCCAGAGCTCCCGATTCTCAGCCGCCGCAGCCCTCGGGGACCCCGCGCCGTCCTGGCGCGACCACACCGGTGCCGACCTGTAGGAGGAGGGCGAGGTGGGACGCGCGGCAACCACGCGGAGCCTCACCGGCAACAGCACCGCCCGCGTCCCCGGCGCTCCTCCAGCAGGGCTTCCTGCCTCCGGGCCCGCGCCCCCTTCTTGGCTTCCGGGGCGGGTCCGGGAGTCTGATTCTGGGCGGTAGTAGGGAACTCGGAGCCCGGCCGGCCGGGCTCCGACCCCGCGCGCACCGTGACCCTTCCCCCGGCTCGGCCGCATCCCCGCACTTCCGGCTTCCGGCCGCCCGCGGGCGCGGAGGCCCTGGCGCGTCCCCTGTCGGCAGATCGCGTTGTCTGCGCCCTCGGCTGTAGAGCCCTGACTCCCCAGCTGATGGGAGACGCCGGCCCCGCTGTCCCGAGTCCTGACAGTCTCTCCTTGACCACATCCAGGTCGGGCTCCTCTCTGAACTCTTCTCAGCTAGGCCCTGCCTTTTGGACTTCCGTGTGCATCTCCAAATTGTCCATTTTTAGCAAGAATACTGCTAAGTTGATCTAACCAAAGTCCACCCATCCCCCGCATCTGATCATCACCCGCCACCATCTTCCAGGTGGTGTCTAATCACCCGGCCGCCCTCAGGAAGAATCCTGTTAGGTCAATTTAGCCAGAATCCCCTCTTACTCCTATGTTTCCTGTTAATAATCATCCATCCACCGACCCCCCCCCCCCCCCCCTTTCTTTGTATTGGGAGTTGAGCACAACTTCGCCCCCACTGCAAAACCCTACTGAGTAGCCCCCTCGAATAAAGTTTGCCTTACTTGTCTTTAACAAGTGTCATAAATAATTTTCAACAATATTTTTTCTTTAACAGTCCCCAAACGTGGCTCCA